CCTGTACAAAAGCTTCAACCCTTAAGACCTTCCGGGGGAGAAAGGTCTTAAGAGTCTCCAAAGAATTTCCAGGAAAACAGCCCTAAAGACCAAAGAACTCCAGCTGGAGAACATCTACTGCCTTGCTGGTAGGTCCACTCGGCGTTCGAGACGCAGTTCGACCCGGTAGCGGAGCCCACATCAGTAAGGGTTAGATTACAGTCAGCCTGGGAGAAGTTAAAACGGGGATTTTCCTTTAAAGAAGAAGTTATTGAAGACAGTTGCCTGTCCTTCGTGGGCAAGATTAGGAATTCACCAGTTGCCTAAAAGCTTGGAATCATTTGCTTAACTTTACTGAAGACAAGAGAAGTTTCTGTTTGATTGTTCATTAATAAAAGACTTTGTTGTATTTCTCAAGCCATCTAAAGACTGTTTGTGGTGGAAAGCTCTGAGAACTTCTCTTTAGGCCCCCTGGCTTCCCGCTGGGCAAAGGTTGCACATCCTGTTCTAAAGACAATTATTTACAGGCCCAGCGCATGACAGAACAGTAGTGAAGCAACCAAGTTTGGGGGGGGGGGGTGTTGAATGCTCTCATTAAGGAGGCCAGACTTGGTGGAGGTGGTTGACAAGGGTGGCGCTGCAGGCTATTGAAGGCTGCTCTGCCCCCTGCTGTGCTCTTTGCTTCAATGTGAGCTAGGAGGCAGGTTTCAACCCCCCCCCCCGCGAAATTTTCAACCCCCCCCCCACCGAAAATTTCAATCCTTCCCGAATTTTTTTTCTGGCTACGGCCCTGCCTGCAATATTCAAATTTGGGCACATTGGGGATGCATGCAAAGTTTGGTCCAGATCTATCATGGTTTGTGTTCATAGTGCGTTCTATATGTAGGTGAACTACAACTCCTCTAAATCCCTCCAAATACTTCTAATATATTTTGTTGGTCATGGGGGTTTTGTGTGCCAAGTTAGTGCCATAGAAATGAATAGGAAAGGGTTATGGGAGAGCCAATGGGACAGGTCAATTGAGAGAGTCAGAAACACTGGGATGCCTGTGGTGGAGGAAACACATAAAATCTAGGAAGGAATTGTCCCTGAATATAAGCTTTCACTTGGGTGGTGGGCAGTATGGTGTTTGTGGAGGACATTGGCGCTCACCTGCAATGTCATTGGATGGAGGGCCATTGGTGTCTCCTAAGTAGTGAGCACTATGGCTGTTTGTGGAGGTAGGAGCTTGTCTCTGTAAGTGGACACTCCAGCCACATACACACATACATATTTTCACTTTTATTAGTTTGTGTATAGATTTATATCCTGCTTTATTTCACCATACAGAGACTTAAATCAGCACACAATCAAAAACATGACAACTTAAAATATACAAATAGACAATAATAAACAGCATATCATTACTTATGATAATATATAATATATTATTATATTATATTTAATATATTAGTATTACTATATTACAATATTACAATTATATTATTACAATTATTACATTGTAATTACAATAATACAGAAAATAAAATACAATGTATATATATAAAAATGGTCTGTGCATAATGAGTACCTTCAAAACAAAAGAACCAATGAATGAAATCACACCAAATTTGGCAACAAAACGTCTCACAACACGAGGAGTGACCATCACTCAAAAATTATGATTTTGTCATTTGGGAGTTGTAGTTTCTGGGATTTATAGTTCACCTACAATCAAAGAACATTCTGAACTCCACCAATGATGGAATTGAACCAAACTTGGCACACAGAACTCCCATGACCAACAGAAAATACTGGAAGTGTTTGGTGGGCATTGACCTTGAGTTTGGGAGTTGTAGTTCACCTTCATCCAGAGAGCACTGTGGACTCAAACAGTGATGGACCTGGACCAAACTTGGCACAAGCACTCAATACAACCAAATATGACCATAGATGGAGTTTGGGGGAAATTGACCTTGACATTTGGGAGTAGTAGTTACTGGGATTTATAGTTTACCTACAATCAAAGAGCATTCCGAACCCTACCAACGACAGAACTGAGCCAAACGTCCCACACAGAACCCCCATGTGGGCCACAGCAACGCGTGGCAGGGGACGGCTAGTATAATATAATACAGAAAATATAGTACATTATAATATAATGCAGAAAATCATATAATGCAGAAAAATTCAGAAAATATAATATAATATAATGCAGAAAACATAATATAACACAATATAATATAATACATAAAATATAATACAATACAATGTAACATAATATAATGTAGAAAATATAATATCTTCATTGGCGTAGCCTGTCCTTTGTTGCCTGGAGGTACCCTCTGTTATGTCAGACCACACAAAGAAGCCATTGAAATCCACAAGCATGTGAAAATTTTCAACAGAAAGAAGGAAACCACAAAAATGTACAAAATCTGGTTATCAGTATTTAAAAAACATCAGAATCAAGAAGTAAATAACAAACACCACTCAGAAACAAAACTCCAGACAGCAAACAATCAAGGGCCAATGAACACCTTTCAAGCAGAGGGTGCCTCCAGGTCGCAAAGGCCAGGCTTTCTCTATGCAGATGCTCCCACTGATTGACTTTGCAAACTTGATGGCTACTCCTAGGCTAATTCAAGCTTGCTAACTTCAACATTACTATAGTTTGGCAATAAGAAGATATATGACTGAATATAAGTCAAGAATGTGATGCAGCAGCAAAAAAGGCCAATGCAATTTTGTGTTGCTTCAATAGGAATAAAGTCATGTTGAAATATTTGAATGGGGACAAAGTGAAGAGAGGGCAAGCTTGTTTTCAGCTGCTCTGGAGACTGAGACACAATAGTCATAGGAGTAGTAGTAGTAGTAGTAGTAGTAATAATAATAATAATAATAGTAATAATAGTCTCCTTCGGGAGAGATAAAGCAGGGTAAATAATAATAATAATAATAATAATAATAATAATAATAATAATTTTTTAAAAATAAGAAAGGCCCATCCCGATTCTTCATAAAAAAGACACCATCTGACCCTTTCAGACAGATGGCCATACAACCCTTATAGGCATTAATAGTTTCATGGAGATAAATAGGGTGATATAATCACAGAATCCTACCATTTGGACCCCAAAGGCCCGCTCAATTCTCCCATAAAGGAGGACACCATCCGATCACTCCCAACAGATGGTCATCCAGCCTCATAGACATGGATAGGTTATTTATTTATTGTGTCAGTATCAACCAGACAATTGTATTACATTTTAAACAATTTTTTAACAAACAGACAAAACAGAGTTTGCAAGCTTGGTAGTTGGTTAAATGTCCTTTGACCAGTAGCTGGCCACTTGGAGTGCCTCTGGTGATGCTGCAAGAAGGTCCTCCCTGGTGCATGTAGCAGGGCTCAGGTTGCATTGCAGCAGGTGGTCAGTGGTTTGCTCCTCTCCACATTCGCATGTCGAGGATTCCACTTTGTAGCCCCATTTCTTGAGGTTGGCTCTGCATCTGATGGTGCCAGAGCGCAGTCTTTTCAGCGCCTTCCAAGTCGCCCAGTCTTCTGTGTGCCCAGGGGGGAGTCTCTCATTTGGTATCAGCCATTGATTGAGGTTCTGGGTTTGAACCTGCCACTTTTGGACTCTCGCTTGCTGAGGTGTTCCAGCGAGCGTCTCTGTAGATCTTAGAAAACTATTTCTTGATTTAAGTCGTTGACGTGCTGGCTGATATCCAAACAGGGGATGAGCTGGAGATGTCTCTGCCTTGGCCCTTTCACTATTGGCTGCCACTTCCCGGCAGATGTCAGGTGGTGCAGTACTGGCTAAACAGGGTAATTTCTCCAGTGGTGTAGGGCACAGACACCTCGTGATAATGCGGCATGTCTCATTCAGAGCCACATCCACTGTTTTAGCGTGGTGAGATGTGTGCCACACTGGGCATGCATACTCAGCAGCAGAGTAGCATAGCGCAAGGGCAGATGTCTTCACTGTATCTGGTTGTGATCCCCAGGTTGTGCCAGTCAGCTTTCGTATGATATTGTTTCTAGCACCCACCTTTTGCTTGATATTCAGGCAGTGCTTCTTGTAGGTCAGGGCACGGTCCAGAGTGACTCCCAGATATTTGGGTGCGCTGCAATGCTCCAGTGGGATTCCTTCCCAGGTGATCCTCAGAGCTCGGGATGCTTGTCTGTTCTTGAGATGAAAAGCACATGTCTGTGTTTTAGATGGGTTAGGGATCAGCTGGTTTTCCCTGTAATAGGCAGTAAGGGCACCTAGAGCTTCGGAGAGCTTGTGTTCAACCATTTCAAAGCTCCCTGCTTGAGCAGTAATGGCACAACATAGATAGGTACATGTAGATAAATAGGGGCACAACATAGTCTAATACAGATTAAAACATAGTTCAAAGGCAACCATGAAAGCATGTATTAAAACATTTCCGTATTAGACTATATGGTAGAGGAATGGATCTGAATGGTGGGAAAAAATGGTTCCATCTGAAAGTTGTGAAGAGAATCCTGATGGTCAGAGCCATTTGGCAGTGGAATCTGTGCAATGGAGTCCCCTTCTTTGGAGGTTTTTAAATAAAGGCTGGACAGCCATCTGTCGGGGGTGGGGATTGCATGGTGTTGTCCTCCCTGGCACAATAATGGGGTTGGACTTGTATTACAGTTTACTTGTAGTAATTAGAAAGAAAGAAAAATAGCCTTAACTCTTGGTCCCAGTAAAAACTCCATTGTAATTCACTCAATAGCTTCACAGTGGTCTTCAAATTAGTGGATTTTTCTGCCTTATTGGAGTCATTGTATATGCATTTGTTATTTCTTTCCTGCCACCAGGTGTCCAGAATGGTGAATTGGATGGCTTGATGTATCAATTAAAAGAAATAATAATAATAATAATAATAATAATAATAATAATAATAATAATAATAGAGGTTGAACTGGGTGGCCTTTGGAGGTCCCTTCAACAGATAGGATTCTCTGATTCAAAGAATGGGGCCAAAAGTTGGAAGCAGAACTCACTTTGATCTCTTTGCTTTTCCAGATTGTGAAATGTCGAATCCAGAGTCTTCGAAGGATGATTTTGAAACACAGCAAGGTCAGCATCGTAATAAGGGGATTTTCTATGCCGATTTGGCTCAGAATAGGCTGAGAAATTGCACAGTGTTTGAGGATCTCGGACTTTTTGTATCCCCCTTTTTCCTGGCTCAGATTTCACTTGGGAGGTCAAAGCCAACGATCGCGCTTTCCATGACCAGTTCATGAAGAGACACTTCTACTGTCTGAAGAGGAAAAAGTATGCGGTGAGAAGAGGGTTGGAAGGCTTTCCATGGTTTGGGAGGAAGGCTCTTCTGCAGACATTAGACTCAATAATAATAATAATAATAATAATAATAATAATAATAATTCCGAGAATTGGAAGGGATCTCAAGGGGCCATCTAGTCCAGGCCTGGGAAGGAAGGACATTAGGAAGGAGGGAGGGAGAAAAGAAAGAAAGGAAGGGAGGGAGGGAGAGAAAGAGAAGGAGGGAGGAAGACAGGAAGGGAGGGATGGAGGGAGAAAGATAGATAGATAGATAGKTAGATAGATAGATAGATAGATAGATAGATAGATAGTTAGATAGATAGATAGTTAGATAGATAGATAGATAGATAGATAGATAGATAGATAGATAGATAGAGATAGATAGGAAACAGAGAGAGAAAGAAGACAAGTAAGGAAGGAAGGAATAAGAGAGGGAGAAAGAAAGAAAGAAAAGAAGGAAGGAAGGGAGAAAAGGGGGAAGAAGAAAGGGAGGGAGGAAGAAGAAGGGAGGGAGGATGAAAAAAGGAAGAAAAAGAAGGAAAGAAAGGAAACAGAAAGAAGAAAGGGAGAAAATAAGGAAGGATGGAATAAGAGAGAGGGAGAAAGAAATAGAAAGAAAGAAAGAAAGAAAGAAAGGAGAGGGAAGGAGGGAAAGAGAAAAGGAAGAAAGGGAGAAAGGAGGTAGGAATAAGAGAGAGAGGGAGGGTGGAAGAAAGAAATAGAAAGAGGGAGAAAGGAAGAGAGGTAGGAACCAGGGAGGGAAGGAAGTGGAGTGAGAAAGGGAGAAAGAAAGGAAAAAGAGGGAAAGAGGGGGGAGAAAAGGGAGGAAAAAAGAAAAAAAGGGAAGGAGGAAGGAAGACAGGCAGGAAGGGAGGGAAGGAAGAGAAGAAAGAAAGGGAGCAAGGAAGGAAGGAAGGAAAAAGAAGGAAGGAGGAATGTGGGCAAAAGAATTAAAGGAGATTCTTTGGTGAGGTGGAAGACTTGCTTGGTGGATTTCCATGATTCAAAACCAAGATTTAAAATACTTGCAGTCGACTTTAAATGGACTAGGAGAGAATCCAGAGCTTTGTTGTCGTCTGCCACTGAGGCTGAGAGAGTGTGACATGCTGCGGACGAGCGGGGATTCGAACTCTGACTCTTCCTCTTCACATTCTCGTCCTTCCTTTGCAGGGTAATGCCATCAAGACAGCCAAGTATAACATGATCACCTTTCTACCCCGCAACCTATTTGAGCAATTCCACCGGATGGCCAACTTGTACTTCCTCTCCATCATTTTGTTGCAGGTGAGACACCTTCCTTCTATAGCCAGGTTTATGGGCAACCAAATGAATGCCTCCAGGGAAACCTTTTTCTCACATTTCAGAGATTGGATCTGTGGGGAGTGTTGTGTTGGATGCAGTGGGGAAGCATGGAATTGTTGTGGTTGTTGTTGTTGTTGTTGTTGTTGTTGTTGTTATCCTGCTTTCCTCCAGGGGACGCAGGATAATCTCATATTTCCTGTGATTTTAGCCAATCAGGGATCACAGTATGATTCAGAGATTGGATCTGTGGGAGTGTTGTGTTAGATGCAGTATCATCATCATCCTACTTTCCTCTAGGAAAACTTCTTACATTTCTTATTATCCCAACCAATCAGTGACTACAGTAAGAGTCGGGAAACAATGGGATTATTATTATTATTATTATTATTATTATTATTATTATTAATAATAATAATAATAATAATAATTCTAGGGAAAGTTCATCTCACATTTCCTGTAATCATAGCCAATCGGTGCGATTCTAGCTGGCCTATCAGTGTTGAGACCACTGAAAGCATAGGAAGCCAATTCTGGGTGCATCTGAATGGTCGAATGAATGCAGTTCAACACCATTTGCTCCATGCTCTGGAGTCCTGGGAGTTGTAGTTTAGGAAGCTACAACCTTCCTTGGAACTATTGAAACTACAACTCTCACGATTCTGTTGCATTGCGCTGCATTGGCTGTTTGGGTAGTGCACCTTCTCTCCACCTTTTCTGGCCTTCTCTGGATTCAGCCTCTTGGGGATCGTAGCCGATCAGTGAACTGATATCCTTCGACTAGGAGAACTGATCGGCTAAGATGTCTCTGGGAAAGCAGGTGTTTCGCGAAAAGTGTTCCCTGTTTTGGCCCTGCCTTCACCCCATTTTGTTTCCGACTCCAGACGGTCCCCCAGATCTCCACACTTCCCTGGTTTGCCCTGCTCTTCCCTCTTGGCCTCCTGCTTGGCATCCGAGGGGTCCGGGACTTGATTGACGATATCGTGAGTAGACCTTTGGGGTATTGTTTTATACAGGTGGATGGGTTGTATTTCCCATTGGACTGGGATGGGACTTATCCTGAGTCAGACTTGCACGTTACTTTATCTACGAAAAATGCTGGAGCCTTTAGACCTCATTGTGAGGAAAATATAGGGTCTTTCCTGCAGTGTCCCCTTTGCCTTTTGGACCTCAATCTATTGCCCTAAAATGTAGCTCTCCTTTAAAATACTCATACAATTTGTGCCTTTAAAGGGCTCCAAAGGAGGAGAAAAATTCCCTATTTGAGATGGTTGATTCCTTTATTGGATAGTCCATATGGTGGTACAAGACGTTCTTGGGATCCTAATACTCCATGTTCAGTTCCTGCCCTGTTGTAGGACTGTTCTGTTAGATCTCCACCTATCAGCAGGTGGCTATAGAAGGAGGATGAAAGAATCCATCTTTCTCTCTCCTATGTAACTCAGTGTGAGTATCTGCCGATGTTGTATATGACTATTTGATTATTCTAATTGTTTGCAATGACAAGCTGAAAGTGGATCTGCGAATCCTGTTTGTACATAAGGTCAGATGCTGGCAGTGGACTCTGCTGATAGACGGGCTGAAACATGTTTGTGCTGTGAAAAAACTCTACTGTGTTTTTCTTGTTTCCAGCTTGCAATCATTCAGGAAAGTTGTGATTTGGAAACAATAAATAACCTCATGACCAGCATCCTGTAACACATTTGAACCCCATCAACACTGAGATGTACCGAGCAGGATATAACAATTTCAATTAATACCTTTGGCTTGGAGGGTGGGGTATCCTAATTGGTTGGGATGGCCCATGGAAGGCAATGGGGGTGGGGTGGGGGAATGTGTCCAAGAAGAGGTGATGCTAGGTCCTAGGAGAAAGGACAAAGAAGCTTAAGATTTAGATCTACCTTTTCTTTTTGGGTCTTAGGGACGGCACCGGAGCGACTGGGAAATTAACAGCCGACCCTGTGACATTTTGATTGGAAAAAGGTATGGGAAAGAAGAAGCAGAGGGGGCTTGCTGCAAAGTAAATTGCTGCGAGAGGGCAGGAAGTAGCCAACATGGCTTGGGAAATGGCTAGCAGTACACCGCCAATCAAAACCACAAGGTCACATTGAACCAGACTCTCAATTGTGTCCTATTCGCTACCACTTCCTTTTCCTTTTCCCTTTCCCTCCACCAGTTTCTGCCCAAGGAAATGGTCCGACATTCACGTGGGAGACATAGTTCGCCTTCAGAAGGACAGCGTCGTGCCGGTAAGCCCCTTGTGTCCCACTTTCAGCCCCTGACGAACTTTTGGCCAGATATTACCGCTCTTCCCATACTTTGTGGGCCGTACTTTGTGCAGAAATCTCTCTCTTTGCACAAGCAGCCAGTTGGGATGGATTGCTGGTAGTTGCTGACCCGTGTCTCATTCTCATTTTGTTTGGTTGTTTTTCCTTTCTCAAGGCTGACCTGCTCTTACTCTCGAGTTCGGAGCCCAACAGCCTTTGCTACATAGAGACAATGGATATAGACGGGTAAATGTTATTTGGGACATTTGGCCATTCCCTCTCTAAGCAGTCAGTTTTAATTGTGATTTTTGCACTTTACTCGTGTATTTGAATCTTTGTTCCATGTATTTTGTAGAAATTCATTTTAATATGCATATTTAGAGAATGTTTATGATGATTATATTTTTTAGATATGTTGTAACCCTCCTCAAGCCACGAGGAGAGGCGGATAAAAAATAAAATTATTGTTGTTGTTGTCTCTCAACCCTATCCTATCTAACAGAGTTGTTGTGGTGAGGGTCAAAATGGGGGAAAGGAGAGCCATATATGCTCTTTGTGAACTTGTTGGTGGAGTGGCAGGATTGGAACGGAGCCATACGGAATGATAAAGGAGTCAGCACACAAAGGAAGTGGGGAAACAGTATGCTCCAATCCTAGTACCATGTTTGCTTATATTTGCTTTTAAATTTAATTTTCAGAGAAACGAATCTGAAGTACAGGCAAGCTCTCCTCGTGACACATGAGCAGCTGTCGTGCGAGGAAGACATGGCTGACTTTGATGGTGAGTCCTTCATTGCCACTTACCAGTGATCCATTCCTTTAGGCTTTCAAGGTGACCCTCTCTGTTGTTATGATTACATCCTCCCTAGGTCCTCCAGAGCAATTCTATGGTCAGCATGTTTTTTGGGTTGGTTGTGGGAGGACCTTGACTTATAGCCTGGAATGGAGGACCACCCCACCGTCCGTCTTCCTTTCGTATTTCCCAGGGATCGTAACCTGCGAAGAGCCCAACAGTCGGATGCACAGCTTCATTGGCATCTTGGAGTGGCAGGGTGAGCAATACTCCCTCGACAGCGAGAAGGTCTTGCTGCGCGGGTGCCGCATCCGCAACACCGAGATCTGCTACGGCCTTGTCATATATGCAGGTAACTCTTCCCTGGCTTTTGGAGACTCTCTCAATTTCTGAAGAGCTTTCCAAGGAGCCGAAATCCTTTTGGAGAGCTCCTTGGAAGCCGTTCAAATGATTTCTGACTATCAGCATGGGTCTCAGAGAGGGTTTGCCTCTGCCTTCCTCTGGGTTTTTCGGACCAAGAGAAGATTCGAACGAATTCTTGAAAAATTCGTAAATCATAAACTACTTGAACACTGTCACGATTCTACCAGAGAAACCCATCTGTGTTGCTGTCTTCCATGCAGGATTTGACTCCAAAATCATGAAAAACTGTGGGAAGATCAAGCTGAAGAAAACCAACCTCAACCGACTCATGGACCGCCTAGTCTTGCTGGTAAGAATCGAGTTTGTCCCGAAGGTTTCTGGATTAGAAAAGAACATATTTTTCCACATTTCAGCCTTAGAGATTCTTAAATAGACCTCTCTTGTTTCTAGTCTTCATTGCATGCAGGCGCGGCTCAACCAATTACACAAAGTAAGCATTTGCAGTATAGTTGATTTTGCCCAGGGGCGTTCTTGAGGCGCTCTTGGGGGAAAATAGACCTTGACATATGCGAGTTGTAGTTACTGGGATGTATAGTTCACCTACAATCAAAGAGAATTCTGAACTCCACCAATGATGGAATTGAACCAAATATGGCACACAGAACTCCCACGACGGACAGAAAATATATATCAGTGATTGGTGGGGGGGGGGGGGAATATTGTTTGCTTACCATTGAAAATTACCTAGGGCCCCCTCTGATTGCATGGATGTATTCGTAGTCTCCATCAATAATAATAATAATAATAATAATAATAATAATAATAATAATAATAGTATTAAGGATTTGGGATGACTGATAGCTCTAGGCATGAGTCAGTAACACCTTTTTTCATGTCAGGAGTGACTTGAGAAACTGCAAGTTGCTTCAGGTATGAGAGAACCATATCCCAAAGGGGACTTGGTCCAGCGTATATGAGGTCAAGCCCTGTAGTGAGAGAATTGGCCGTCAGCAAGGACATTGCCCAGGGGACGCTCGGATGTTTTGATCTTTTACCATCCCTGTGGGAGGCTTTTCTCATTTATTTATTTATTTGCAGTATTTATATTCCACCCTTCTCACCCTGCAGGAGACTCAGGGCAGATTACAATACACATATACATGGCAAACATTCAATGCCATTTAGACATACAACATATATAGACAGACACAGAGGCATTTAGCATTATAGCTCCCCCCTCCCCTGGCTTCATGAGGATATGCTCGATTCTGGCCACAGGGGGAAGTGTCACTTCACTGTCCACTTGTGACACTGAGTCTTTTCATGGAGTACTTCCTCATTCTTCTGCATGCTGCTGGGAGGTTTTATGTCGTAAATTAGTTAAATTAGCCTCCCCGCATAAAGCGGTACCTAAACTTCCTACTTGACAGATGCAACTATCTTTCGGGCTGCATAGGTCAACAGCAAGCTAGGCTATTAATGGTTGGGAGCTCACTCTGACCCAGGCTAGCTTCGAACACATGACCTTTCGGTCAGTAGTGATTTAATGCAGCTGGCTACTAACTAGCTGTGCCACAGCCCGGTCTCATGTCCCTGCATGGGGAGTTGGAGCTGACAGGGGAACCCATCCGTACTTTCCCTGGATTCGAACCTGCGACCTGTCGGTCTTCTGTCCTGCCAGCACAAGGGTTTAACCCATTGCACCACCAGGGACTCCTGACGGAGTTTGAATAAAACTTATTAGTTATATTTGTGAATATAACTTAGTTATAGTTATAAATTATATCATTGGTTATTTATTGTGGTTATACTAAGGCGGGATTTGTAATTGTCTATATGCAGATCCCAGATCTGTTGTTTTGCTTACTCTAGCCATTGGCCAAGGTGACTCGTTCATCTGCATACTGGAAAACCTAGGAAATTTGCAGAAAGACATTTGCCGGGCATCAAAACCCGAGTAGGTCTGATTTGCCCAAATTTGTGTCCTGATCCTTCTTCCTTCCTTTCCTGAGATTGTGGCGGCGCTCTTGGTCATCTCCTTCGGCCTGGCCATCGGCTCTGGTGTTTGCGCAGAGAAGTTCCGCCAGGAGCACGGCTACCTCTCTGTCTTCTATGACAGTATTAGCGCAGTCGAGTATGCCTTCATGGCCTTCTTCGGTTTCATCATTCTCCTCAGCCTGGTCATCCCCATGTCCATGCTCATCACGTGAGTGAGGCACCTATCCTTCCTGAAGCGTCCTTCTGGAGCTCTCCGAGGTTCTGAGTCTGGTAGAGGAAATGGTTATTCAGGAGCTTGGAGAGCGCATTGGAGAGCAGGAGGCAGGCCATGCATTACTACTAAACTTCTCACTCCTTCTACTTTCTCCTCCTCTTCCTCTGTCTTTCTTTTCCTCTGCCTTCTTCTTCCTTCTCCTCCTCCCTCTTCCTCTTCCTTTTCTTCTGTCTTCTTCCTCCCTCTCTTTCCTTTTTCTTCTCCTTTTTTCTCTCCTCCTCTCTTTTCCTCTGCCTCCTTCATTCTCCTTATCCTTCCTTTTCCTTCCCCATCTTCTTTCTCCTCTTCTACCTCCTCTCTCCTTCCTTTGCTCTGCCTCCTTCTTCCTACTCCCTCTTTCTACCCTCCTCCTCTTTCTCCTTCTTTTCCCACTACCTTCTTGTTTCTCGTCCTCCTATTGTCCTCCTTTTTCCTCCTCTTTCTTTTTCCTTTCCCTCTGCCTTCTTTCTCCTCCTTCCTTTTGTCTTCTCCTCCTTTTTTCCTACTCCTCTTCCTCCTCTTCCTAATTCCTTTCCCTCTGCATTCCTCCTCCTCCTCTTGCTATATCTTTATTTTCCTTCTTTTCCATCCTCCTTGATCCTTTTCCTCTGCCATCTTCTTTTTCCTTCTCCTCCCCTTTCCTCTTTCCCTTCCCTTCCATTGTCTTCTTCTTCTTTTTTTCTTTCTTTTTCCCATCCTTTTCTTTTTCTCCTCCACCTCCTTCCTTTTCCTTTCCTTTCTCCTTCTCCTTCCTTTTCATTCTTCTTTTTCCTCTTCCACCTCTCCTTCTTTTCGCTCTGCCTCCTCCTTTTTCTTTCTCCCTCTTCCTACCCCTCCTATTTCTCCTTCTTTTCCCTCTGCATTCTTCCTATTCCTTTTTCCTCCAACCACTTTTTTCTTCCTCTCCTTTTCCTCCTCCTCCTTCCTTTTCCTCTACCTTCTTCCTCTTTCTCTTCCCTCTTCCTCTTTTCTCCTTGTTTCCTTTCCAACCCAGAGAATCTGCCGTGCTTTGCTTTGACCCGATCTGACTGGGAAGGGACAGAGGAATGCATATTGCCTTTTGTCCCTTTGGACTCCACTTGCAGCCATTGAAGTGAAGTGAGGACAAAGGAGGGGGAGGTGGTAGGAGATGCTGGGACATTCTCCTGATCCGCCAAAAAGCAGGACGACAAAGGAGCAAATGGGGGTTGGGTTACAATGCGGGGGGGAAAGAGGCATTTCTGAAATCAGAAGGCGATCTCTTTCTCCAGGTTCGAGTTCATCTACCTGGTCAACAGCTGCTTCATCAATTGGGACCTGGAGATGTACTGCGTCGAGAAGGACACACCAGCCAAGGCCCGCAGCACCAGTCTCAATGACCAGTTGGGCCAGATCCAGTATGTCTTTTCGGACAAGACAGGGACCTTGACCCAGAATATCATGACCTTCAAGAAATGCTGCATCAATGGGAAGATATACGGTACAATGTTGGTGATGAGATTCCTTATTATTACTATTATTACTATTATCATTGTTATTATTATTATTATTATTATTATTATTATTATTATTATAGAATGGGACATAACTAGGAAGCTGTGTGAATGGACACTTTTTAGGAGACATTGACATTATTGTTATTATTATTATTACTATTATTATTACTATTATTATTAATATCCCACTTTTTCCTCTCCACAAAGGAGCCTTATATTGTGTATTGCATTGGTTTAGCACTGCCTGCCACTTTGAGCCTCTGTTAAGAGAAAATAATAATAATAATAATAATAATAATAATACTTCCATGAACTCCAGATCCCAAGCTTCTATACTCTTGACTGCTGAAAGAAATCTTTCTGAGGGGTTCATCTACATCCAATGCTATGGAACCCTGGGATTTGTAGTTTGATGGTCGATGAACGCAGTTCAACACCACTTTACCTGCCATGTCTCAATGGTATGGAATTCTGGGATTTGTAGTTTGTCAAAGCAGAGGAGGCCAGAGACATAGCAAAACTATAACTCCCAGGATTCCATACTGTCCCAAATCCTGCTCAAGGCAACGAGATTCCCTGAAGTTGTAGTTTTCTAGGGTGCCAGTGCCTTGCCAAACTACATCTCCTATAGTGATTCAAGTGGTGTCCAACTGCATTCGCTCTTAACGCAATGCTAGGGAAGCCTGGGAGTTGTAGTTTGCCCTCTTGGACTGGGAAGGCTTTCCAAAAACTACAACTCCCAGGATCCCAGAGCATTGGAATTATAATAACCAAGCAAACTCACAGGGTTTGGTCTGATTTCCAAGGATGGTGATCTTATTATTAATAATTTTAATAATAATAATAATAATAATAATAATAATAATAATAATAATAATATAATAATAATATTTCCCTTTGCAGGCTCAGGCTCCAGCGGCAAAGACAAAACCTCGGTAGGTGAGACGTTTCATCCATGAATTGTGTAGTTTCTCTACGGCCTTGTCGTTCTGGGATCCCAGGATTTTTAGTTTTGCAAGGTCTTTAGCCTCCTCTGCCCCCCAAAAAGCTTGAGCCCTGCCAAACTACTCAGCACCCAGGGCTTGAGTCTCCCTGCCCTTGAAATACAGGAATGTATGGCTTGATGGTGTGTGTTTTCCTTGCTTGAAACAAACAAACCTCAGTGTGCCGTTTTGACATTTGTCCCCCCATCTGCTTTTGCCTTTCTTCCCAGCCCAAGACCATGGGCTTCTATGACCGCTGCCTCTTGGATACTGTCCAGCAAAACACCGACCCTGTGGTGCGGGAATTCATGCGCTTACTGGCCCTTTGCCATACGGTGATGGTGGAGCAGAAGGATGGTAAGCTGGGAGAGGGGCTCCCAATTAACTGGGACTCCCCTTCCTTAATAGTACCTAATAATCCCTAATAGTGCCTAATATTTTTTAAAATAGTCCCTAAGGGGTCACGGTAGCACAGTGGGTTAAACTGCCAGCTGCAGAAAATCTTGCTGACTGGAAGGTTGGCAGTTCAAAGCCGTAGGTCAGGGTGAACTCTCCCTGTCAGCCCTAGCTTATGCCTACCTAGCAATTCGAAAACGATAATGTGAGTAGATCAATAAGTACCGCTTTGGTGGCGAGGTAAAAGTCGCCCATAAAGACATGGCGGCAATTCGATCAGGAAGGCATTCATGGACAACAGCATGGAAAATGGAACAAGAGCACCTCCCTATGGCCGGAGTTGAGCACAGCCTCCAGAGGCCGGAGATGGAAAGGGGGAAGCCTTTGCCTCTGCCTGCGTACTGTCTGTCTTTGTTGTTAATTGTATAACGGCATTGAATGTTTGCCATATATACGTATTCTGTAATCCGCTCTTGGGGAGATAGAGCGGAATATAAATAAAGTATATTATTAATAGTACCCAATAATCACCCACAATCCCTATGAGTCCTTAACAGAGCTTGAGAGTTCTGGTTGCCTACATTCTGGTTAACTGAGGGTCAACTATATTGACTTACGCTCTTAGTTAACCAGAGCTGATGGCCATCTGTGAAGGGTGCTTTGATGGTGTCTTCTTTTAAAGCATAATGGGATTGGACTGGGTGGCCTTTAGGGGGGCCTTCCAAATTCTAGGATTTTATAATTCTATGTTGGTCTTTCTTTGCCTTCATTTGCTTCAAGGGCTTTATTCTCATATGCAGAGTTTCTAGTTTGACCTAGTATGGGGCATAGTCTCAAGACTCCTTTATGCATCGACGGCGATTGTATTTTGCAGGTCAATTGCTTTACCAAGCGGCTTCGCCGGACGAAGAAGCTCTGGTTTCTGCAGCTCGGGATCTTGGCTATATCTTCTTATCAAGGACGCAAGACACCATCACCATCCAGGAGCTGGGCATCCAGCGGACCTATAAGGTCTTGGCAATCTTGGACTTCAACAGCGTCCGCAAACGGATGTCTATCCTGGGTGAGCACCCATAAACCTTTCTATAAATAAGTCCAATTCTCCTGTCTTTCGATAAAAAAAAATGGCCAGGTAATGACATTTTAGGCATTTTTGTTGGAAATAGCAACCTTCCAAGCCTCCACTGACTGTTTGTTAATGTATATACAATTATTAGCCTGCATTCTATGTGTATGTCGATTTGCCAGTTTGGCTTTCCACTTTGATGTGGGAGGAGTTATAGATGTGATTGTACTGAGCATGTGCAAATTCAGGACTCCACTTTGTTTTTTAGTTTGCTTTTGGACTTTGTAGAGATTCACATTTGCCAAACGGAGGTGACATCATTTTTACCTTTGCAATAAGGTTATGGTGCATTGGAATTTCCAATAGATTATGAACTTTTCAATAATTTTAGTGGCCATTTCCTCCTTGCAGTGCAAGACCCCGAAGGCTGCCTCCGGCTCTACACCAAAGGAGCCGACACAGTGATTCTGGAGCGGTTGCGGAGGGACCCTGTCAGTGAGGGCTACACTGTCAAGGCCTTGGATGTGAGTCCTGCTCCAAGTTATTTGGAAGACACCTACAATGCAGACAAGCTTCAGAGGGCATCTATTTCTCCTTGTGTTTATGCCTCCCTGGCCCAGGGCATCAACAAGTTAAACATGAGCCAGCAATGTAATGTAGTGGCAAAAAAAAAAAAAAAAAAACCAATGGGATTTTGGCCTGCATAAATAGGAGTATAGTGTCTAGATCCAACAAAGTCATGCTCCCCTCTATTCTGCCTTGGTTAGACCACACCTGGAATATTGTGTCCAATTCTGGGCACCACAATTCAAGAGAGATATTGACTAGCTGGAATGTGTCCAGAGGAGGGTGACTAAAATGATCTGGAGAACAAACCCTATGAGGAGCGGCTTAAAGAGCTGGGCAAGTTTAGCCTGAAGAAGAGAAGGCTGAGAGGAGACCTGATAGCCATGTATAAATATGTGAGGGGAAGACATAGGTAGGAGGGAGCAAACTTGTTTTCTGCTGCCCTGGAGACTAGGACACAGAACAATGGCTTCAAAATACAAGAAAGGAGATTCCATTTGAACATTAGGAAGAACTTCCTGACTGTGAGAGCTGTTCAGCAGTGGAACTCTCTGCCCTGGAGTGTGGTCGAGGCTCCTGCTTTGGAAGCTTTTAAACAGAGGCTGGATGGTCATCTGTCAGGGGTGCTTTGAATGCAATTTTCCTGTTTCTTGGCAGCGGGTTGGACTGAATGGCCCATGAGGTCTCTTCCAACTCTATGATTCTATGAGTCTATCACGCCAATTAGATTCAGGGAGGCAATAGTAAGACTTTTGTTAAAGAAGCCGGCACTGGATCCCACTCAGCTGAGTAATTATAGGCCAGTTTCCAATCTCCCCTCCCTGGGTAAGGTTCTAGAGAAGATGGTGACCTGACATTTCCAAAGTTTCTTGAATGAAACCAATTATCTGGATCCATCTCAGTCTGGTTTCAGGCCCAACCACAGGACAGAGACAGCATTGGTTGCCTTGGTGGTGATCTATGAAGAGGACTAGATAGGGGGAGTGTGTCCCTACTAGTTCTCCTGGACCTCTCAGCAGCTTTCGATACCATCAATCATGGTATCCTTCTGGGTCGTCTCTCTGGGATGGAACTGGGAGGCACTGTCCTGCAGTAGCTCCGTTCCTTCCTGGAGGGTTGGACCCAGATGGTGGTGCTGGGGGACTCCTGTTCAACTCCCTGGCCTGTGGCCTGTGGGCGGATCACAGAGCACATATATGGCAAACATTCAATCCTGTTATACACTAACAGGACAAAGACCAGTACAGATAGAGGTATCTAGGCTTTTCCCATTTTTGGGTTCTTGGAGGTTGTGCTCGATTCTGGCCACTGGGGCGGGGGGTGCTGTCACTCCAGCCTCCATGTTCACAGACTTCCTCCTTTTTGATCAAACTGCCAGCATTTTCTAGTATTTCCTTATGGTGCCATTAAAATACCTCCCTGCTTAAGCGATACCTATTTATCTACTCATAGCTGTTTTTGATCTGCTAGGTGGGCAGTGAGCTGGGCTGAAGGTCGGGTACTCACCCCTGACCCAGGCTTTGAACTGCCAACTGTCAATTGGCAAGATTTATTACAGCAGCTCATTAAGCTGCTGTGCTAAAGCCCGGCTCCTCCAGAATAATTAATCTGTCTAATTCTATGTATTGTTGCAGGCTTTCGTGGCCTGAATCACTAGGTTGCTGTAGGTTTTTCAGGCTGTATAGCTATGTTCTAGAAGCATTCTCTCCTGACTTTTCGCCTGCATCTATGGCAGGCATCCTCAGAGGTTGTGAGGTCTGTTGGAAACTAGGAAAATGGGGTTTATATATCTGTGTAATGTCCAGGGTGGGAAAAAGAACTCTTGTCTGTTGGAGGTAGGTGTGAATGGTAGTTGTTAGAGTGGTCCAGCATTTCTGTGTTCTCAAATAATATGCTGTGTCCAGGTTGGTTCCTCAGGTGCTCTGCTATGGCTCACATCTCTGGTTGAAGTAGTCTGCAGTGCCTTCCATGTTCCTTGATACATGTCTGGGCATTTGGGGGTCCCTATGTAGACTTGTAGACACTGCGCCACCGGGAGCCCCCGGTGGCGCAGTGGGTTAAAGCACTGAGCTGCTGAACTTGTTGATCGAAAGGTCGCAGGTTCGATTCCGGGGAGCGGCGTGAGCTTCCGCTGTCAGCCCTAGCTTCTGCCAACCTAGCAGTTCGAAAACATGCAAATGTGAGTAGATCAATAGGTACCGCTCCAGTGGGAAGGTAACGGCGCTCCATGCAGTCATGCCGGCCACATGACCTTGGAGGTGTCTACGGACAACGCTGGCTCTTTGGCTTAGAAATGGAGATGAGCACCACACCCCAGAGTCAGACATGACTGGACTTAATGTCAGGGGACTACCTTTACCTACCTATGTAGACTTGTCCACAGCTGCATGGTATCCGGTAGACTCCTGCAGAAGTGAGAGGATCCCTCTTGTCCTTTGCTGAACGTAGCATTTGTTGGATTTTCTTAGTAGGTCTGTAGATAGTTTGTAGGTTGTGTTTCCTCATCAGCTTCACTATGCGGTCAGTGGTTCTCTTCATGTATGGCAAGAACACTTTTCCTCTGGATAGATCTTTGTCTTGACTCTCATGGCTGGACTACACTAACAACCACCATGTCAGACTACACAGAGAAGCCATCGAAATCCACAAGCATGTGGACAATTTCATCAGAAAGGAAGAAACCATGAAAATGAACAAAATCTGGCTACCAGTATTAAAAAACTCTAAAATCACAACAGTAAATAAAGAAGAACACTCAAACACAGGGGAGCTCCAGACAAGAAGGAATCAGGGACAGCTAATCACCTCTCAATAAAAGATTTTCCAGGCAATAAGAAGCCACGCCTTGAAACTGTCAGGCCATTAAATGCTAATCAAGGTGGCCAGTTGAAACATTCACGCCTAGCTCCAACAGGCAAGAGTTGTTTTCTCCCACCCTGGACATTCCACAGATATATAAAGCCCATTTTTCTAGTTTCCAACAGACCTCACAATCTCTGAGGATGCCTCCCATAGATGTGGGTGAAACGTCAGGAGAGAATGCTTCTAGAAGATAGCCATACAGCCCAAAAAACCTACAGCAACACTGTCTAATTCTGTTTTCATTTCCTCTGAAAGTCTTATAAAATTCAATTCATCCAGGTACTGGTCCGTTTTTTAAAAATCTATCTGAATATTTTTATATAAATTCCTATAATGATCTTCAAATACCTTATAAATGCATTGCATATCGGTGATTGTTTCTCCTTTGTTCTTTATTTTAATGATTGATGCTTCTTGTGCATTAGATGATCCTTGAGGTATCCTAACTGGTGATCCTACATTGAGATTGGGGTTGGACTGGATAGCCTTTGGGGAACTCTTCCACTTCCAGAATTCTGCAATTCTGACCATACTGCCTCCTCCCCCTTTCAACTGAGATCTCTTCCCCCTTCATTGTCTTCATCCTTTGTCCTTTCTTCCCCTGTTTGCTCCAATCCCACAGAGTTTTGCCCAGGAGACTTTGCGGACTTTGTGCCTCGCTACCAAGACAGTGAATGCGCAGGACTTTGAAACCTGGAGCAAGAAGCACCACGAAGCCAGCGTCGCATTGCAAGGCCGGGCTCAGAAACTGGACAAAGTGTATGAGGAGATAGAGCATGGTCTCCAGGTAGGATCCCGTCAGGTCCTGTCGTCTACATTTTGGAGTTAGCTTTCATCCCTCATTCCTAGCCGGAAAGGGTTCTGACTAGATGAATTTCTCCGTAAGGTCACCATAATGTCCTGAAGATTTATTTGTGGTTGTTGGGAATGCAGGGAGGAGACTGTGGGAGTGTTCTCCGGTTCTGGGATGTTTGTCAATGACAAGCAAGGCTGGCTTGAGCCCTGCCAATTGTTTCTGAAAAACACTTCCAGCTCCTGGGTGCCACGGCCATCGAAGACAAGCTGCAAGATGGGGTCCCAGAGACGATCCACCTCCTCAAAAGAGGAGGCATGAAAGTATGGGTGCTCACCGGAGACAAGCAAGGTATGGAGTAGATGTAGGCTTGAAGGGTCACTCCTTTGTAGCCCTCTCTTCCAAAGTTTGGGAACAGTTGGGAATGAGGTGAAGATAGGAATCACATCTCTGGTAGGTTTCCATATTTCATATATGATTTTCTCGGTCCTGCAGAGACGGCTGTCAATATTGGTTTTGCCTGCGAGCTCCTTTCTGATGACATGACCATCCTGGAGGAAGATGTGGTCAGGTGAGGTGGCAGATGGGTGTGTAGAGACCTTGGAGAAGTTACTTTCTTAGATTTTGAGAGCTTGGGTCTGACGAGATGCAAATACAGGATATGTGAAGATGATCCCAGGGGACTGAAGTGGGTTGGCGTAGCCAAGCAGAGATTTCAGATGGATCTCCTGGTGTCCATGTCAAACCAGGACATCATGGTGCCTTTCATGGCTCAAGAGATCTACTTCACTCCTTGCTTTTCTCCTAGGGAGATCCTTGAGCCGTCTTGGTACAGCAGCAGCAGCAGTCTTGCCAACAGCAAGGAATCGCTTTGCAACGGCTCTTTCCAGCCCTTCCAGACATCGTCCATCTATGGAAAGAAGGCCCTGGTGGTCACAGGGGACTTCTTGGTAAGACGAGTCATGACCAAAAGCTGTGTTTGTAATATAAGAATATTATTCTCCCACCTGCAGACACAAAGGTAGAAGCTTGGTGCTCAATAATCTCCGGGTCTTTAAAAGGCCACTATGTAAATGATGGAGCAAGCTTGTCTTCAGCTTCTTTGGATGTTAGGACTCTAATGGATGGATTCAGAGGTTGGATCTTTGAAAGATCACTGTGTAGTCCTATCCTCTGGAGCAAGTTTGTTGTCTGCTTCTTCAGACATTAGGACTTGAACTGATGGATTTAGAAAACAGATCTTTGAAGGACGACCATGTAGTCCTACTGCTTGTCCCTACCAGATCAGGACAACTGGAGAGTATTGTTGTCTCTTTTATTTCACAGGACAAAATCTTCCACATGGAGGGGGAGAAGAGGGCAAAGAGGAAAAAGTGCCTTTTGGAGCATTTTGGGTGTCGTAAGGCGGACCCTGAGAAGGACCAAGGGCACTTGGTGGAGCAGGCCTTTGTGGAGCTGGCCACTGAGTGCCAGGCTGTGATCTGTTGCCGGGTGACTCCCAAGCAGAAAGCATTGATCGTGGAGATGGTCAAGCGGCACAAGAACGCTATCTCCTTAGCCATCGGAGACGGGGCCAACGATGTCAACATGATCAAAAGTGAGCTCACTGCTTTGTCTTTGAGTGGGGCCACGGTGGGCAAGAGTCCGTCATAAACCAAGTATGGCCCCCAGTGTCTGACAGTCCTTTGCTTGACTGGTGAAAGACAACCTTGTAGGTGATGTTGAGGAGGCCACTGAAGGTGGTGTCAGCTTTGAGTTGGACATTCCTGGGTTTCGTTCGCAGGGCTTCAAAATCCTTCCCACCTTCCCCAATTTCACCCCAGTTCCCTTTTGTTGCCTCTTCCTCACCAGCCGCCGACATCGGGGTGGGCATCAGCGGGCAGGAAGGGATGCAAGCGGTCCAGTGCAGTGACTATGCCTTGGCTCAGTTCTGCTACCTCCAGAGGCTCCTTTTCGTCCATGGACGCTGGTCGTACATCCGGATCTGCAAGTTCCTCCGCTATTTCTTCTACAAGACTTTTGCGGGCATGATGGTGCAGATCTGGTTCGCTTTCTACACAGGGTTCACAGCCCAGGTGGGCTCCAATTGATTCTCTCTCCAGGGTTCTTTTTGGGTTTTTAGTCTGAACTTTTAGACTTGAAGGTAGTTCGGCTCCTGGAATCCCTGAAGTTTGCCTATCTTGGTGGGGACTCCCAAAAGCTGAAGCTCCTAAACATCTGAAGGATCAAAGCAGGGGTCTCCAAACAAAGGCCCACGGGGCTGATACAACCCATAAGCTTATTTACTCAGCCCAAGCCCTAAACTTCAGGCTACTGCTGCCATTTGTGTCCTGCCATTTCCACAACCTACTTCTTGTTTCTTAACTCTCCTTTCCTTTCCTTGTCTAGAGGGCAAGCAATGGATTTGGGGTTCTGCAGAAGGAGGAATGCTCTAATCTCACATTTTTGCTCTTCCATCTTAGCCACTTCTGGAAGGCTGGTTTCTTGCTTTGTACAATGTTTTCTACACTTCATATCCTGTTCTGTGCATGGGGATGTTTGAACAGGTAAGCATCTTAATACTTCAACATTTTCCTCACTTGTGTGCCAAATATGACATGAGAACTCTGGCAAGAAATGTCCACCTGCTGGATAAGCATTTTAGCACATTTTTCATCCAAGTAAGAGAATATTATCATGTGTCAAAGCACACTAACTTTCCTTCTCTTCCTCACCCATCTAGGATGTGAGTGCCAGAAAAAGCCTACATTTCCCAGAACTCTACAAGGTGGGCCAGGAGAACCGGCTTTTCAATTTCCGGACTTTCTGCGTTTCTTTCCTCCATGGCTCCTGTGTCTCTTTGGTCAACTTCTACATCACTCTTTGGGCCATGGGGGATCGAGCAGGTGTTCGGGTCGTTGGTGATTATCAATCCTTCGGCATGATAGTTGCCACCTCAGCCATAATGACTGTCACTGCTGAGGTGAGACTTGGATCAATGGTTTCTCTGCTCAAATGTTGGCCAAGGAAAGTTCTTCCACAAAGTTTTTGTGTCCTCAGAACCATGATGTTGTCCAAGGAGATGTAAACCACCTCCTTCTGCAATGTCTTTGTCTCCTTGATACTAATATGTTGCAAAAGGAGATAAAAAGAATGCGCTTCCACAATGTCTTTGTGTATTCAGCACAAGGATGTTGCCTAAGGAGGTACAAACCATCTCCTTACACAATCTCTTTGTGTCCTTTGCACAGTGATATTGTCCAAGGAGATATAATCTCCTTCCGCAATGTCTTTGTGTTCTCAGTATGTTGTCCAAGGAGGTACAAACCATCTCCTTCCATAACGTTTTTGTGTATTCAGTGCAGGGATGTTGTCCAAGGAGCTACAAACCATCTCCTTACACAATATATTTATGTCTTCAATACACGGATGTTGCACAAGGAGGTACAAACCACCTGCTTACACAATGTATTTATGTCCTCAAAACAATGATGTTGTCCAAGGAGATATAAAACTACATGTTTCCCGCCCATTATACTGCCTATGCTTATTTTTTATTTTTCATATTGTTATGTATTTATGTGTTTTATTTAATTATGATGTTATTGTTTATTGTTCACATTTTCGGTTAGTGTTTTTGGTTTTCTTTATTGTGATTGTCATTTGGGCTTGGCCTCATGTAAGCCACTCCGAGTCCCCATTGGGGAGATGGTGGCGGGGTAACAAATAAAGATTATTATTATTATTATTATTATTATTATTATTATTATTATTATTATAAACCTTCTCCTTCTGCAATGTCTTTGTCTCCTTGATACAAGGATGTTCAAAGAGATACAAACCATCTCCTTACACAATTTCTTTGTGTCTTCAGTATGTTGTCCAAGGAGATATAAACCGTCTCCTTACTCTTTGTCACAATACAAGGATCCTGTCCAAGAAGTTACAAACCATCTCTTTGTATCCTTGGTACAAGAATATTTCACAAGAGATACAAAGAACATACTTCCACAACATCTTTTGTCCTTGGCACAAGGATGCTGCTCAAGGAGGTACAAACCATCTCCTTACACAATGTATTTATGTCCTCAAAACAATGATGTTGTTTGAGGAGATACAAAGAACGTCCTCTGCAACATCTTTGTACATTCAGCACAGTGATGTTGTCCAAGGAGGTACAAACCATCTCTTTGCACAATGTCTTTATCTCCTCGATACAAGAATGTTACCCAAGGAGGTACCAATCTCCTTCAGTGACATGTTCCTAAAAATACATGTATATGGTGGAGGGTTAACTACACGTTTTCTAGGCCTTCCAGAGTGAAATCTTGGACAGACCAGGAAATCACTTCTCAAGCCTTGTTCTCCTTGTCTATCTGGATAGATCATGATGGAGGTCAAATTTTGGAACATCTTCTCTGTGCTGGCCATTGTGGTGAGCCTGGCTTTCTACTGCCTGTTCTCCTATATCACACAAAGTTTTGATGCCTACAGAACATCTTACATTGCGTTCCCTTATCCGGGTAAGACCTTGCTTTGCAGGGGGTTTGCGTCTGATAGCATGACTTCCAACCCTCTACAAGATTAATTGGGGGGGGGGGGTCTCTCTAAAATTACTCCTCCAGCAATTCTATGGTATGCTTCCTCTGGAGGACCTCTCTAGGTATTTTGTAGGTCCTCCAGCGAGACACTGGGTACATTGTTACCAGTCGTCGGGTTTGATTGTAACTATGGTTTCAGGTAACCAAGATCCATCCAGGAATGTGGATATGGAGGTCTTGCTGTATATATACCCTATTTACTCAAATCTAATCCTAACCTTTTTTTGGAAAAATGACCTCACCAAAATTAGGGTGCGCATAACATTTGTGTCATATGATGATCTTGGTCCTGAGCCCAAGCAAAAGGGGAAGCTGCTTCAGGAGCCTCTGGTGCTCCTCTTTGAGGTCCGCCATCTCTAATTTAATGGACATGGCTCAATGCTATTTGATCCAAGGATTTTGGTGCTGGATGGAGATGATTTTCTTACTTGTTCCACAGTTAGTAGTATTAAATCCCTATATGGACCTCCCTTGCCCTGGTTGAGCCATGAACAGTGCCTTCCTTCCCTTCCTTAGATGCCTCCAGGAATGCCCTCACAGATCCAACAAGCCTCCTGGTGATCTTGCTCTGTGTGATGGTCAACGTCGTTGCTTCCCTCACTGTCCGCTTTGTGGATGGCTGTTTCAGTTCCACCGACATGTCCGATGTGAGTAAGAGAGCCAGGCCAGAACTGCATCCTCTTCTGGACTGTGGGCCGATGGGGACTTCATGTTGGGGTGGTCAAGCCAATATGGGTTTTAATCTGAGGTTCAGACTGGTTGGTCTTTCCAGCTCTACAAACTTGTCCGACACACTGAATGATCTCTTTCTCCCCGCCTTTCATCCCCTTTTCACCATTTCCCTTCACCCCTTCTACATTCCTCCCCTTCCTTCTCCTTCCCTCTTTCCTTTCCTTCTCACTTCCTTCCTTTCTCCTCCCTCCCTCTTTCTTTTCTTCCATCTCTCCCTCTCCTTTTACTTCTCTCTCCCTTTCCTCCTTCCTTCTTCTTCTTCCTTCCTTCCTTCCTTCCTTCCTTCCTTCCTTCCTTCTTCCCCTTCCTCTTTCGTCTTTCTTCCTCTTTTCCTTTCCTCCCTCCATCTTCTGTCCTTCTTTCACTTTCTCCTTCTTTCTATCACTCTGTTTACTTCCTTGCTTCTTTCCCTCACATCCTCTCCTTCTTCTCTTCCCTCTATTCTCTTCCCATATCTGTTTTTCCCTCCTTCTTCTTTCATCTTACCTTCTTCCCCTCCCTCCTTCCCTCCTTTCCTTCCTTGCCTCCCACCTTCCTTCCATCCCTCTTCCCTTCTTTCCTTCCCCATTCCTTTCTTCCTCCCTCCCTCCCTTTCTTCCTCCCTACCTCTTTCTTTTCTTCTTTTCTCACTCTTTCATCCCCTTCCTTCCTTCCTTCCTTCCCTCCTTTCTTCCTCTCCTTACTCCCTCTTCTCCCTCTATTCCTTCCTCACATTCCTCCTTCGCCCTTTCCTCTTTCCATCCTTCCTTCCTACTTTTGTCCCCTCCCTCTCTCCCTTCCTCTTTCCCTCCATTCATTCTCTCCGTCTCTCTCTGTTCAACTCTCTCTCTCTTCCCTCCTCTCCTCCCTCTTCTTTCCCTCTATCCTCTCTCCATCCTTTCCTTTCTGCCACTCCTTCCTTCTTCCCTCCCTCTCCTCCCTATTCCCTCCTCACACCCCACCTTCTCCCTCTCGCCTTCCCTCTCCTTCCTACCTACTTTGTTCCCTCCCTCCCTTTCATTCCCTCTCCCCTTTCTCTCTCCCCTCCTTTTCTCCTTTATTCCCTCTCTCTTCATCCCTCCCTCTTGACCACTTCTTCCTCCCTCCCTCCTTCTCCTCCCTCCCTCTATTCTCCTCCATCCTTCCTTCTCTCTTTCCCTCCCTCCTTCCTCCTTTCTCCCTTCCTCTTTCCCTCCATTCCTTCCCTCCCTCCACACTCAACCTTCCTATCCCTCCTCCTTCTCCTCCCCACTTCCTTCCCTTTAACCTCTCTCTTCATCCCTCCCTCTCTGCCACTCCTCCCTCCCTACTTCCCCTTCCTCCCTCTATTCCCTCCCCATATCCCTCCTTTCCCCCCTCTCTTTTCCCTCTACTTCCTTTCTACTTTTGTCCCCTCCCTCTCTCCCTCACCCTTTCCCTCCATTCCTTCTCTCCCTCCCTCTCCACTCAACCTTCCTCTCTCTCCCCCTCCTTCTCCTCCTTCTTCCTTCCCTTTAATCTCTCTTCATCCCTCCCTCTTGGCCACTCCTTCCTTCTTGTCTCCCACTCCTCCCTCTATTTCTTCCCCACATCTCTTCTTCTCCCTCTCTCCTTTCCTTCTCCTTCCTTCCTACTTTCCTTCCCTCCCTCCCTCTCTTTCTCCCTCCATTCTCTCTCTCCCTTTCTCTTCTTCCCTCCTTCTTCTGCCCCTTCCTTCCCTTTATCCTCTCTTTTAATCCCTCCTTCTTGGCCACTCCTTCCTTCTTTCCTTCCTTTCCCCCCTGTATTACCTCCCTACATTCCTCCTTCTCCCTCTTGCTTTCCCTCTCCTTCCTACGTATTTTCATTCCCTCCCTCTCTCTCTCCCTCCCTCCCTCCCTCCATTCCCTCCCTCTCAACCTTTCTCTCTCTCCCCTCCTTACCTTCCCTCTTCCCTTTATCCTCTCTCCATCCTTTCCTTTCTGCCACTCCTTCCTTCTTCCCTCCCTCTCCTCCCTATTCCCTCCTCACACCCCACCTTCTCCCTCTTGCCTTCCCTCTCCTTCCTACTTACTTTGTTCCCTCCCTTTCTTTCTCCATTCCCTCTTATGCCCCCCTTCCTTCCTTTTATCCTCTCTCTTCATCCCTCCATCTCGGCCATTCCTTCCTCCCTCCCTCCCTCTCCTTTCCAGATGATTGAGACCCGAGGCCTCCACCTGAAGGAGAAGCCAGTGGAGTTGACCTCCCACGTCCGGAGGAGCACCTTCCACCGGCGCTCCAGCTACGCCTTTTCCCACGAAGGAGGCTACGCCGACCTCATCTCTCGGGGAGCCAGCCTCCGCACCAAGGGGCCCCGGGGCCCCATCCATGACAAGGGCTTCTGCAGCCCCCCATCGCTCCCTGAAGAGAGCCCTATTCCCTCCAAAGCCAGCCGCCGATCTCCAGAAAAGCTTTCCAAGTAGAGAGCCCACTTGGGTTGATGCAAAGATGGGCCTGAAAGGTTCTCAACTGTGTTCCTTCTCCTGGCCCTGTGGTTCCAGGTTCGAAGGCCCCCAACTTCCTTTATGTGCCAGTATTTGGACAGAGCTCTGTGTGGATATGAAGGAGGGCAGACATGCCTATGGTTCATGGCAATGGAAGAGAAGTCTCATTTCGAGGAATGATTGAGAGCGACACATTTTGTGCAATTAATTCTGGTTTTACAGCCATTAATGCTGAACTCAGATTTTAGTGCCTCTTATCAAAGGAGAGGTTCTCATCTTTCATAGCAACTGTTACATTAAAAGTTACATTTATAGTGACTGGTTTTGCAGGCCTCCAAATGAAGGAGGAGGAAGATTACATGGCCCCTGTGCCTCTTTTTTTGCCATACCAAGTTGTTGATCTATTTATGGGCGTTGTGTTGACAATGGATAAGGGGAAGTATACCACTTGTTTGTGGACTGCCTCCTAAATCAGGAAATGCATTGCAGGGCCTCCTGGATGTTCTTGGAGAGCAACTCCCATCATCCCTTACCACCAAGCAGATGGGGAGAGCAATCCAGTGACATCTGGTGAATGATGAAAATCTACCTTCAGACTCACATTGCAAATACAATTTGATAAATTGATTAAAATAAACTCAATTGATTCAACGAGTTGGGATGTTCAACTGAATGTAGGCTCCGCTTCCCTCTGTTGGTCAGATGCTGCATTGCAGTCGATGGGCTTCCTCTGTGTCTTCAAGTCAACATCTACTAGGAGTCCTCAAACCTATTACGCCAGTGTTTCTCAACCTTCCTGATGCCACGACCCCTTAATACAGTTCTTCATATTGTGGTGACCCCCAACCATAAAATATTTTTTGTTGCTACTTCACAACTGTAATTTTGCTACTGTTATGAATCATCATATAAATATCTCATATGCAGGATGTATTTGATACAAATATGCAATATACCCAAATTTGAATACTGGTGGGGTTGGGGGGGATAATTGATTTTGTCATTTGGGAGTTGTACTTGCTGGGATTAATAGTACACCTATAATCAAAGAGCATTCTGAACTCCACCAATGAGGGAACTGAACCAAACTTGGTACACAAAATTCCCATGACCAACAGAAAATACTGGAAGGTTTTGGGGGGCATTGACCTTGAGTTTTGGAGTTGTAGTTCACCTACATCCAGAGAGCACTGTGGACTCAAACAATGATGGATCTGGACTAAACTTGGCATGAATACTCAATATGCTCACATGTGAACACTAGTGGAGTTTGGGAAAAAGAGGCCTTGACATTTGGGAGCTGTAGTTGCTGGGATTTATAGTTCACCTACACTCAAAGTGCCCCTTGAATCCCACCAATGATAGAATTGGGCCAAACTTCCCACATAGAACCCCCATGATCAACAGGAAATACTGCAGGGATTTGGGAGGAATTGACAGTGATTTAGGGGAGATGTAGTTCACCTACCTCCGGAGAGCACTGTGTTCCTAAGACTAGCAGAAATAGGTGTTTTCTGATGGTCTTTGGTGACCCCTCTGACACCCCCTCGCAACCCCCTCAGGGGTCCCGACCCCTAGGTTGAGAAACGCTGTATTACGCTGTTTCCTACCCACTTTCCTTCTTTTCTTCTTCTCCTTCCCCCCGTGTTTCCTATCTTTCTTTCTCCCTTTCTTCTCTTCCTTCCCTCTCTGTTTCCTACTTGCCTTTGTCTCTTCCTTCCTTTCTTCCTTCTTTTTCTCTTCCTTCCCTCTCTATTTCCTTCCTTTCTCCCTTTCTTCTCTTCCTTCCCCCTCTGTTTCCTACCTGCCTTTGTTTCTTCCTTCCTTTCTTCTCTTCTTTCCCTCTCCTTCCTTCCTTCCTTCCTTCCTTCCTTCCTTCCTTCCTTCCTTCCTTCCTTCCTTCCTTCCTTCTTTTTCTCTTCCTTCCCTCTCTATTTCCTTCCTTTCTTTCTCCCTTTCTTCTCTTCCTTCCCTCTCTGTTTCTTACCTGCCTTTATTTCTTCTCTTCCTTCCATCTCTTTTCTACCTTCCCACCTTCCTTTTTCTCTTCCTTTCCTTTTTGTTTCCTACCTTTCTTTTACCCTTCCCTCTCTTCCTTCCCTCTCTGCTTCCTACCTCCCTTTCTTTCTTTTTTCTTTCTTTTCTTCATTTCCTCTCTGTTTCCTATCTTTCTTTCTCCCTTCCTTCTCTCCCTTCCCTGTTTGTACCTTTCTTCCTTTTCTCTTTCCCTCTCTTTTCCCAATCTCCTTATCTTTTTTCTTCTTCTTCCTTTCTCTGCTCTTCCCTCCCTCTGTTATGAAGAGAGAGAGAGAGAGAGAGAGAGAGAAAAGGAAAGAAGAGTTAAGGAGCAAGAAGAGGGTGGTGGCAGGGAGTGAACGGCAGCAGCAGTCTAGAGTTCAGAGTGGGGACCAATTGAAAGACCTTGTGGACCATATACGTCCTATGGGCCGTCGTTTGGGAACCCCTGTCCTAGGAGGTTTTATGACAAGACGTGTTTGGTGTATTATTACTGTTGCATTGCTTTCTGGGACAAGCACAAGAATCTGACAAGAGTCACAGAAGGGGAGGCAAATCGGGTGAATGACAAAAAAATAATTTATTGAAGAACCCGAAAGCTGTCAAAACATACAACACAGTCATATGGAACAGTAGCGAACGAGACAGACAAAGACATTGGTTCGCTTTGCTTGTTTCCTTTCTGGGAGGAAAAAACAAAAATAATCACCCAAGAGCAGAGCATTCGGAAGTGGGAACCGGGCCCCAAACGAACCCCAACAAACATCGCTGCATTTCCTTTTCCTGATAAAGTGCCCAACACATGAGTCAATATTTTCAAAAGAAATAGTACCTGGAAAAATGTCGCCCGGAACAAATGTTTTTGGGAACGAACAAAAGTCAGGAAATTACAGGAAAACCACAGCCTGACAACATTCAAATGAAACTGCTGGGTCCACAGTAACAGTGCACCGCATTGAACCTCAGAAGTCAAAACTTGGGGGTGCTTCTACACCAGGATGAAGTTTGACACCGCTTTAACTGCCATGGCTCAGTGCTGTGGAATTATGGGGCTTGTATTTTGGTGCCACTGTGGCGCAGCGGGTTAAACCGCTGAGCTGCAGAACTTGCTGACTGGAAGATTGGCAGTTCAAATCCGTGGGATGGGTTGAGCTCCCGCTGTTAGCCGCAGCTTCTGCCAGCCTAACAGTTTGAAAATATGTAAATGTGAATAGATCAATAGATACCGCCCTCAATGGGAAGGTAACGACACTCCATGCAGTCATGCCAGCCACATGAACTTGGAGGCATCTATGTACAACGCCAGCTCTTCGGCTTAGAAATGGAGATAAGCAACTCCCCCTAGACTTAATGTCAAGGGGAAACCTTTACCTTTTTACTTTGGCGAGATGCAAGCACTCTTTGGTAGAGAAGGCAAACGACAACACCTTGGGCAACTACCGCTCTCCAGACTCTGTAGCTTTGAGCCATGGCAGGCAAAGTGGTGTCAAACTGCATTTGTTCCACAACGTAGATGCAAACCCAAGGTCAAACTCAGGGCGTCAACATTGGGTTAGGTTTTAGCTTGGTTTTTAGTAACCAGATTCAAATTTAGCTGATCATCATTCCACTCTGGAGCGAAAATTCAAACTTGCACAAATAGGAAATGTTGTTTTATCAATTTGCTCTGATCCATAGTTCAGGAGTCATTCTTGCCCCATAATAAACAATTGCTCCAAACTCAGGCGTTTGCAAAACCCGGGGCCATTTCCAAACGTGGGACTATTTCTCAGATGGGATTCACCTCTTCTCTTTCCCTTCCTTCCTTCCTTTCTTCCTTGTCAACATGATTCCAAGCTGCATCAATAGGATGATAGCATCTTGATTGGTTTAGTGTCTAAACTGATAATTCAGGATGGAAAAGTAACTATTGCTAAGATTTTATGGTTGGGATTTTCTCTCTTCTATTTTGATCCTGCAATAACTTAGAAATGCAGCTCTCACTTTGGAAGGAAAGATTTCTACAGTCTCCAAAAAAAAGTCCTTCCTTCCTCCCTCCCTTCCTATACGATTCCAAGCTTCATCAATAGAACCAGAGTGCCTAAATCAAGGAAAGACCTAGTACTCTTTGATTGCATGTTGCTCGGACCGGATGACGAAAATGTAGGGGTGTGCGAAATGGCAGAAATCTGTTTTCGTTCTGTTTTTGTTTCAAATTATGGGTGCCCTTCCTCCCCCATTCTACTTTTGGGAAGATCCTATAGAGTGCCATAAACAGGGTTCAGTCCTTGGCCCGGTTCTTTATTAATGACTTAGAGCAGGCATGGGCAAACTTCAGCCCTCCAGGTGTTTTGGATTTCAACTCCCACAATTCCTGGACTTGAGCCCCTTCCTTCCCACCCTTCAGCTGCTTCCTGGCCTCAGGCCCTTTCCTTTTCCCCCTCAGCTGCTTAAGGAAGGGGCCTGAGGCCAAGAGTTGTGGGAGGGCCAAAGCTTGCCCATATCTGACTTAGAGGAAGGGTTAGAAGGCATGATCATCAAGTTTGCGGATGGGACCAAATTGGGAGGGAGAGCCAATACTCCAGAAAACAGGAGCAGACTTCAAAAGATCTTCACAGATTAGAGAGGTGATTGGCTAAAACTCACAAAATGAAGTTGAACAGTGATGAATGCAAGATACTCCACTTAGGCAGAAAAAAGGAAGTGCAAAGAGACAGAATAGGGGACAATGCCTGGCTTGACAGCAGGACATGTGGAAAAGATCTTGGAGTCTTCATGAACAGGAAGGTGAACATGAGCCAGGAATGTCATGCAGCGGCAAAAGCAGCCAATGGGATTTTGGCCTGCATCAAGGAAGTCTGCTCCACCTCTGTTCTAACTTGATCAGACCATACCTGGAATCACACTGTGTCCAATTCTGGGCACCACAATTGAAGGGAGACGTTGACAAGCTGGAATGTGTCCAGAGGAGGGCGACTGGACAGAGGAGACCATGCCCAATGAGGAGTGGCTTAAAGAGCTGGGCATGTTTAGCCTGCAGAAGAGAAAGCTGAGAGGAGACACGATGAGGGCCATGGATAAAGAGGTGGGGGTAAGTCATAGAGAGAAGGGAACAAGCTTGTTTTCTGCTACCCTGGGGACTAAAACATGAAACAATGGCTTCAAAGGACAAGAAAGGAGATTCTACCTGAACATTAGGAAGAACTTCCTAACTCTGTGAGAAAGAGAGAGAGAGAGAGTGGTTCAGCAGTGGAACTCTGCTCTGGAGTGTGGTGGAGGCTCCTTCTTTGGAGGCTGGATGACTATCTGTCGGAGGGGGGGGGGGTTAAGTGCTTCTTGGCAGGGGGTTGGACTGGATGGCCCATGAGGTCTCTTCCAGCTCTAGGATTCTACGATTCTATGAAATGAAAACAGAACTCTGGATCCTGAATTACGAATCTGAATGCTCTTTCCTCCTAATCTCACCAAGGATCATCCCGAAAACAGAATGAAAACCAAATGGATTTCAGCTGGTTTGCACATCTCTACTAAAATAGCCAAAGGCCTGAGAACTATGAATCCCTCTGAGAAGCAGTTTAAAGGGCTGAGAATGTTTACCTTGGAGAAGAGACGGCTCAGAGAGGGCATGATAGCAGTGTTTGAAAGGCCATTCGAAAGATCCAGAAACCAATTCAAAGTGAGAATGTCTCACTTTGGATTTGGAGCTATCCAAGGTTCTGAGTTGGGTTCAATTGAGCATTTCAGTACCTTGGAAAGCTCCCTCCAAGTTCAATGACACTGGGGCACACAAATAATCCTGAGCTTCCTTTCTGTCTGCCCTTGGACTCCTTCACATTGCAATCATGTTAATGCTTTGGACCCAACCTCATTGTTATGGTTGGCTCAAACTCTTGCTTTCAAATGTAATACCCAGTTTTGTCTACTCTGCTGCTCCCCGAGGGTCTAGGGTTGAGATCTCTCCCATTCCTACCTGAAACCCTTCCCTAAATAACCTACGATTCCACGGTTCTGGAGGAAACCCCGAATGTCGGACTATTGGCTCAGTATTGCTTGCTCTGACCGGCAGAAGCTGTCTAGGATCCCAGAAGGAAGGGTTGACTTGAGGGAATGGACCTTGGGTTTCTCTTTTGTTTGCACTTGGAGCTTCTCTCAAGGACTCGAAACACAGCCCTGAATCCCGGGGACGCAAAGATTTCTGGAAATGCAGAAAAATGCCAAGTTGCCTCCGCTGGACTAAGGACCGTCCAAACCAGCTCGAAAACCTCACAGTTTGGAAAATATTTCTGGACTTTTTTTTTTTGCCTTGTTTCCCCTCCAAAGATGGCACCTGTGTTTTGAGCCACGCTGGAGGAGAAACTGGATTAACGGTTTACATGGAGAGAGAGATATTATAATATAATATGTAAATGATTGTCTCTCTTGTCTCTCTTCTGAATAAGTGGAAAGCCAAGACAAGTATTGCTGGGTTTGTCGGAAAGGCAGAAGAGCGGAGGTTAGGATTGGGGTTAGTTTGGGCAAAACTCTGGATGTTGTGGGCGAAAAATGCCAACAAGTGCGACTTTTCAGTGGAAAGAGAAAACCTGGATCCCATCAATGAGCTGTTGATTTCCATCCCCATACCATTAAAATAACCACAAAAAGAATTTGTGTTGTCTCATGTTATCACCCAGTGGAACCCCTCCACAATTTTGTATCCAAAAATGCCATATTTTCACAATTTTGTCAAATTTCTCAGCATTTTGGATACAAAATTGTGGTGGTCCATGAAGGAATTACATTGGAGGAGATACCTAGGGAGGCCTTCTCCCTCATCTCCAATCCATCCAATTTAAACGGGATTCGGGGTATTGTTCTCTTTTCCTGAAATTTTCTTGGGACTCAATCTCCCAGAATTCTTGGGAAATTTAGTCCAAAATTCTTTGGAAACAATGTTGGAGAAGTTCATCTCAAAGATCTTCTTACCCAATATGAGTTTCGCTTCTGTGAGATTTTTTTTTTACAATTTGGTCCAATTCCCTGACATTTTGGATACAAAGTTGGGGAGGAGGTTCATGGAGACCCATCCTAGGATTGCATTGGCGGACATACCTAGGGAGGCCTTCTCCTTCATCTCCAACCCATCCAACTTAGTGCTTAAACAGGATTTGGGGTATTGTTTAGAGGTGTGAGAATCCGTTCTGTTTTCATTTTGTTTTCACTTCGAATTTCAGGGGCTCCCTGTTCTGTTTTTGGGAAGATTCTGGGAGATTAGGAGGGGGGGCATTCAGACTTGTAATTTGGGTTCTGGAGTTCCGTTTCCTTTTTGTGAAGAATCATCATGAAGGAAAGGGGTCGCGGTAGCACAGCGGGTTAAACTGCCAGCTGCAGAAGATATTGCCAACCAGAGGGTTGGCAGTTCAAAGCCGTGGGTTGAGGTGAGCTCCCACCATCAGCCCTAGCTTCTGCCTACCTAGCAGTTCAAAAACAGTAATGTGAGTAGATCAATAGGTACCATTTTGGAAGGGAGGTAAAAGGCGTCCATGCAAACATGCTGGCAATTCGTTCAGGAAGACGTCCACAGACAACAGACTCCTTGGCATGGAAAATGGAGTAGGAGCACCTCCCCATGGCTGGAGTTGAGCACAGCCTCCAGATGCTGGAAATGAAAAGGGGGAAGCCTTTGCCTCTGTCTACATACTGTCTGTCTTTGTTGTTAATTGTATAACGGCATTGAATGTTCGCCATATATGTTTCTGTAATCCGCTCTGAGTCCCCTTGGGAGGATTGAGCAGAATATAAATAAAGTATATTATTTTATTATTATTATTATTAAAGTAGACTGGGGGTGGCGGGGGGATGGACCTGGGACAGAAAGAAAACAGAATGGATTACACACCCCTAGTATTATTCTCTTGTCCTGAAATTTTCCCCAGTGTCGGTCCTCTGGATATTTGGGACCTGATCTCCCAGAATCCTTTGTTGGGTCACATGGGAAATGGAGTCCAAAATGCTTGGAGCGCCAACTTTGGAGAACAACATCTCAAAGATGTGGATTTTTTGGGTGGGGGGGGGATATAACGGCATTCTCTTCCCAGTGAAAAATTCAACCTCCTCCATGAAAATTTCCTTTGTTTCCAAATTGCAATATCATAAAACTTCTGTCAAGCATCTGCGACAAGGGATGGCCAAAGAGGCCTTTGAGAGTTGAAATTTGAGAAAAAAATCATTTCAGAAAGATCAGGGTTGCACTTTTGCAGCAAGCTAAGCTCAATCCTCCAACCTGGCAACTTTTCGATATGGAGCTCTCTCTCTATTGGTTTATCAAAAGACTGACGGAACCAAAACAAGGGAAGATGACCGAAAAGGGGAAAGCGAACAAAAAGACAGAAATGCCCACAATCATATGCAACGCATGGGTCCATGCACAGACCTCCGAGTCGAAAGGAAATCTCGTCGGACGAAAAACACACCAAAAAAGTCTCCTCCCCACTGGACCCACCCCCTCCCGATAATTATTACATTACTTCAAGAAAGAGTATATTTATATATATATATTTTCCATTTCCATGCATAAATCAAATTTCCGATTTCGTCCTCTTTTTTTGGTCTTTTTTTTAACCTTCTTAAATTACATTTGAACACGTAAAACACATATAATAAATACTCTCAATAAGACGCGACTAAGCAGGGAAAAAAAGAAGAAACGAGAACGCATCCCCCCCAAAGCGAAAGAGTCTCCTTGGTAGGATTTCTTTGGAAAGGTTTCAATACGAAATCTGTAAGCTCCAACGAACCTTCATTCTCTCGCGCGCGCTCTCCCTTTCTCATTCTCTCTCTTGTTTCTTTAGAAAACAAAAAACCGTGAAACTAACCAGTTTTAACTTCCTCCTCCTTCTCAAACATTCAATACGTCTCCCATTTTGAGCATGTCAACTTCATACCAACATGCCGTCTTCTGCAAAAATTATAATTTAACAGTATAAAGCTTCAAGTTGCAAATTCCAAAAACTAGCTAAGTAATTATCATCATCATCATCATCATCATCATTTTTTTTCATCACATAAACTATACATTAAATATTTTGAGGTATTTCAGAGAGCATTGTCAAAGACTTGCCTGGTGTGTGCTGAAGAGAGAAATGGGGTAAGGATCCCTTGGTTTTGTTTGGTTCATTCATTTTTATTTTTATTTTTCTCTCCTGAGTGGAGAATATCTTTGGTATCAAACTAGCCATTTGGGTGTTGGGTAGAAAAAAACCCACAGAGACAGGGAAGGTGGGTAGGTGAGAAGTTCTTCAATCCCTTGACATTAACAAGAAATACAGCATTTGTACGCGTTAATATCAGAATTGGCGAATGGACAAACGGAACTGGAGAATGGACAGGCTTCAGCACAGCAGGTTAACCGCCAGCTGCAGTAAATCTTTCCAACTGAAAGGTTGACAGTTCAAAGTCTGGGACAGGGTGAGCTCCTGGCCTTTAGCCCAGCTTCTGTCTACCTAGCAGTTTTTAAAACAGCAATGTGAGTAGATAAATAGGTACCGCTTAAGCGGGGAGGTACTTAAAGCACCCATAAGGAAATGCCAGAAAAATGCCAGCAATTCGATCAAGGAGGAACTTTAGGAACAAAAGCTTTTTGGTAGGGAAAGAAGAGTGACAGCACCCCCCGTGGCCGGGACTGAGCACAGCCTCCAAGATGCTGAAGATGAAAAAGCCTATATATACACCTCTACCTATGTAAAGTTGTCTTTCTTGTCAGTGTATAACGGCATTGAATGTTTGCCATATATGTGTTCTGTGGTCTGCTCTGAGTCCCCTTCGGGGTGAGAAGGACGGAATATAAATACTGTAAATAAATAAATAAATAAATAAATATTCTCCATTTTGTCCAAACTGATATCTCGGATTGGGATTTCTAGTTGAGTTTTGTACATGTGGGTCAACCATATATAAATCAAAATATGCACAAGGCGTGTGCTTCCGTATATCTGTTGGAGGGGAAAATATTAGTCCTTGGATGGGTAAAGGGATTGGAAAATTGGGTACAGGAAAGCAAAGAAGGGGAGTACAGGGGTGTAATTCTCTGCCCCATCACCCAATGGCTACAAAATTCACCAGAATCGATCTGATTCGGAGAACTGAGGTAATACAGGACAGAAAACCATGGAAAGGGAATGGTTTTGCACACCTTTGGTTCAAGAACAAGGCACTCATCTTCTCACACTCTAACATTCATATTCTCTCTTTCCTTCTCTCTCTCTCAGCTTTGGATGGTTTGGATCACACTAGAAATGGATGCTTATAGGGAACATTGGTTGTATGAGTGTGCTGTTTCCAGCACAAACCAGGCAAGGGGAACAAAATCTTTGGTATCAGGTGTGATTTTCACATCACAAAAAATTCGAAAACTCAAGTGAGGTAGCCTATATTTTTCTGGTTCTCACTAAAAATGTCTTTGCATGGTAGTTCGTGCGAACTCTCTTATTTATTTTTCTTCTCTCGTCTGTCGGGTGTTCATCTCATCGGGAATCGGGTCCCGGTATTTCGCTTTTCTTTCTTTCATTCATCTTTTTTTCCCCCAGTGGCTTCACAGTCCTCAAAGACTACACACAACCAGGGACGGGAATCCACTGGGTCCTTCTCCATTGTCCATGAGCATCAACACATCACAACAAGACAAAAAGACACAGTGGGGCGAGGGACACTTGGTGGGGAAGTGGAAACTCCAGGAGAGGAGACACAATCTGGAAGGGAAGGATATCTTTTCGGTTTGGGTTTCGACATTCCCTCCCATTCCCTCCTCTCCTTTTCCTTCTTTTTAAAATATTATTTGGCAAAACGTACCTTGGCATTTGTGACAATCCCTCTTCCAGCTATTTCTATTGTCCACTTGGCTGGACCAACCATTTTTCCCCCACCTTAAAAGAAAAGAACAATCTCCCAAACCCTGATTGGCCAGACCCAATAGCCTAGATTGGGGCAAACAAACAAAACTTGTTGGGGTTTTTTGTGAAGTTAATGAGAGGTTTGTTTAATTGCTTCCTTCCTCCTTTCGAATTCAGTGGTTCATTCCATTGCATTCTTTTCCTCCTTTGCCGCCTCTTCCTCCTCCTCCTTTTCCATTCACAGCAATCTGCCTCTGGATGCATTATCCTCCATGTAATCTGTCCATAAGCTCTTGTACCCGCATCAATGTGAGAGTGTTCCACTAAAAAGCAACCACACAGCCCAAAACGATTCCCACATTTATAACATGGAGCTGAGATGGACAACGGGAGGACGTCTATGGACGACGAAAGCTCCTCGGCATGGAAGATGGAATGACAGCACCCCCTGTGGCCAGAGTCAAGCACAGCCTCCAGATGCCAGAAATGGAAAAAATGGGGAAAGCCTTTACCTTTGTTTATGTATTGTCTGTCCTGTTAATTGTATAACTGCAGTGAATGTTTGCCATATATGTGTTTTGTAATCCGCCCTGAGTCCCCTTGGGGAGATAGAGTGGAATATAAATAAAGTATTATTATTCTCAGTCTGCTTTTCCTTCAGCCTTTCCATGAAATGTGGGCTGGAAACTCTGCCATTAGAATGACTCGTCTGACTGATCATCTCTTTCTTTTTCATTTATCTTTTGGGCCCAGAAACTCTTGATTCTCCAGCATCACCACATACCTGTCATCTACTTCTTGCTTTCTCTTTTTAAAGGCAGGCTGTTTCTTGGGCATTTCTTGTATGTTGCCGTTGAGACGATTATCCTTGGGTTGGGTTGCTTGGAGACGGTTGGGAATGGGTGTTATGTTTCCATTTAGCATCCTTCTTTCCACACTCAAAGTAGGCCAACATATCCATTTTATGATTAGATGCAGCCCTCCTATATCCAGTTTCGATCATAACTATTCTTTCTTAGTTTTCTTCACTTTTTTTGTTAACGAAGACAAGAGAAAGAGGCAAGGAGTGAGGTTTAAAGATATTCTGGGAGGAGGCGGATGGGATAAAGCCAGTTTGGAGCTGCAATGAAACCACGGTTGAATGGAAGGTCAATGTCCAGGAAAGAAAGCCAAACTCTTACTCTTTCTTTCCTTTGATTTCTTTAAAGCTTTTTTAAAATACCCGATTCATGTACCTAAAATGTGCTTCATGACCCGCTTTATCTCTAGGTGACACAGTGCAACTAGGTTTGGAACCCCCCTGCTAATGATTCAAAGGGGGAGAAGAGGGGGTATCTTTCATTCAAAGAGTTTCTTCTTCTTCTTTTTCATCCCCCTTCACACTTTGGCTTGGAATTCCTTTGAGAGGAATTGTCGAAGAACAAGGAGTCTTCTCTTGGATTGCGTGTTGTTTTGGAGAATTGGGACCGTGCGTCTTTTTGGTCAGTTTGGGTGATGGACTTGGTAACAGATTTTCATGGGAAGCAGTTCTTTGAAAGGGAGTGTTTTAGAGAATGAGATGTGAGCAAGAAGATCAGAGGAGATGTTTGTGAGTACAGTATGGTGATGTTGAGATGGTGGTCTGCCATGCCATTCCCCTACTGGGATCATGAATAGGGGAACAACATTGCCTTGCGGTATGTGAAATGCCACATCCATATGTGCCACAAATTTACATTTGTCAGCTACAACCAATTGTTCTCAATGGGATGGCAAGGGATTCCCACTCGACTCAGTTGAATGCCTTTTCGGCTTTGCATCAGTGATTTAAACGAGAGGGAGAAGGGCAAGTCATGGGATGTTTTAGGCCTGATGGATGTCACCAAACGCAAGACACGTTGTGCTTATGGTCTTGCTAATGTCAATACAACTGTAACAGCAAAAAAGGAAAGAGGGCAAGTGTTTAAAGCTCATAAAGCCAAATGGGAAGGAGGTATATAAATATAACAATCCCATAGTTTCTTGCCTTCCTCCAGTGAAATTTTAGGTGCTGGGGTGTGTTTTAAGGCATACATTGCACACTTGCTTTGTAGGTCATTGACTTTGGTTCCAATCATGACAACTTCAGAATAAGATTACGCAGAATAAGGTCTGGAACTGGAATGGTTTCTTATTTAGGTCACTGCCTCCCACACCCGATATGAGCTAGGATTTTATGGAGAGGAGGCATTTCTCAACGAACGCCAAGGTTTGGAAGGATTGGCTTGTGAGATGAGAGGGCGAGGAAATGCTCCCCAAAACCAGTTGTCAATGTCAAAGCTAGACGCACCCATTGTGGATGTGGAATGGAGTGTGGATATGGTTTGTTAGTCCCTTGATGTGCATGTGAAGTTCATGCATGAAGGAGATGGGAATGAGCTCTATGGTGTGGAATCAAGGGAACAAGAGATGCAGAGGTGAGGGGATGTTGAGGGGCAGATCATGCTTTGGAAAAAGTGCTCGTCGAGGAAGAAGGGACCCCGGGGTTGCCGCTGGGCTCCTCCTGCCAACGATTCATACACCGCCGGCGGGCGTTCATGAAGAAGTTGCTGACAGTGTTGAGCTCCAGGCCCAGCTGCTGCGAAATGGTCATCTGCATCTCCTTGGACGGGCGCTTGTTCTCCTTGAAGATGGCAATCAGGGTGCGGCGCTGGAGGTCCGTGAAGACCAGGCGCTGCTTCTTGGGCTGCAGGTTCCGGTCCTTCTGCTGCTCCTGCTCTTTGCGCTTGCACGCTGCATGCCGTTGCCAAGAAATAGGCAATAAAAGGGGAAGGGAGGAGGGGGAGAAGAAGAAGAAGACGGCCATGAACACAATGACAATCCCAGCAACGGTCCAACTACTTACTCTCCCTTCCCACCAAAGAAGGAGAAATGCAATGTGTTTGGCCCTTGGGCTAAACACCAAACCGAATGCATTCACGAGGACTAGAAGAATCCTCTGTGTCTCCCTGTCTCCTATGAAAGCTGAGAGGTCCAGGAAGCAGAATAAAAACTGCAATTAATTCTACATTCATGGACCTGTTATCAATTAGTAGGGCTTCACCTAAATCCCTGATTGGCTATACCCCGTCAGATCATAACTCTCATGGCTGTACTTTTTGCATTTTATTTCCATCCAGGTTTTTAAATTTTGAATAGGTTTCAATGGATTTTAACTGTGAATTTTTAAAAATACTGCTTATATTTAATTCTGTTTTAATGTTTGCATATTTGTATATTTTAAATTGTATGTGAATGCTATTATGTTAAGCCACTTTGAGTCTCCTCAATTAATTAATTAATTAATAATACTTTCAGATACCTACTGGAATCCCTGATTGGCTATACCTTGTTGGATAATAGCCCTGATTGGCTATACTTTCAGATAACAATAAGTATTTTACTTTATTTCCATCCAACTACCCAAGTTTGTACAAGTATTACAAAGTGGAGCAAAAATACCACTCAGATATAGTGGTCTCCCCATTCATAATTTCCAAAGAAGAAGGGGAGTAACATCTAGGTCAGCAGTTCTCAACCTGTGGGTCGCGACCCCTTTGGGGGTCGAACAACCCTTTGACAGGGGCTGGAGGAAGAAAGAGGAAGGAAGAGGCACTCCAAGGTGGGGTCCCCCTTTTCCCATCCCTCCCCCTCCTGTTCCTGCAGGGCAATCTGTCAAACTCACCTTGCCTTTCTGCCCTTCTTTCCCTCCCTCCCTCCTCCTTTCCCTCCTTGCTTCCTCCTCCAGTGCCTCCGACTTCACTCAGTTCCTGCCCAGTGGTGGTGGCAGCAGCAGTGACGACAACAACACGGTGTTCATCCTGGAGCCATGCCACCCCCGCTGCTTCGGAAGCGAGGAAAAACTGGCTTCTCCAACTTTCTGGCTGTTTCCTCCTCTTCCCTGGTAGGAAGCAAGGTGGCACCAGGACAGACATTGCAGTCTAGTCGCTTCCTTCTTTTGGCACCTTTAACCTGATGATTTTTTTAAAATTACAAAACTAAGCAGTATTAAAAAGCACCTCTAAATAGAGTATTTCTGGTCGTTGTCAGATGACACCCAGGAATATTTCTGTATTGGTTGTTGTCCACCTTGAATCCCTTGGGCGAGAAAGTTCGGATAGAAATAATAATAGTAATTATTATTATTATTTCTATAATCATTATGATAGAAATAATAATAATAAATAATAATAACTATTATTATTTTGATCCAACCTTCCTCTCATTATTATTATTACATATTGTTTTTGTGATTCATCACTATGCTTTAATTCTGTTCAGTTTGTAACAATGAAAATACATCCTGCATATCAGATATTTACATTACGATTCATAACAGTAGCAAAATTACAGTTATATAGGTAGCTACCCCTCTTTTCTTAACAGCGTTCGGTGCAATGTGGACTTGGACTAATTTTTAAAATGTGTTCAGATTTATATTTGTTTTTTTATGTGGGTTTCCTGAATAGCTATAACATCTGCCTCTGATAATGTTAGTTATTGAAATATTTTCTTCCTTTTCTTTGGTGAGTTAAGACCATTGGCATTCAGTGATAGTATTTTTAGTGTCCTCATTGCAAAGGTTCTAGAACACTAGAACACACATTGAAATTACAATTATGAAGTAGCAACAAAAATAATTTTGTGGTTGGGGGTCACCACAGCATAGTTCCTCGTGTTGTATTAAGGGGTCGTGGCATTAGGAAGATTGAGAACCACTGATCTAGGTAAACTTACTGGTGTTGGTGTGTTTTATACTTCTAAGAACTACCAATCGCTCTTCCTCATCATCCTTATTGTTGTTGCTGTTGTTGTTGTTGTTATTGTTGTTATTATTGTTATTATTATTATTATTATTATTATTATTATTATTATTATTATTCTGATATGTCCTGGAGCTTTTGCTTCCAACCCACCTCCCAGACCCAGTCCTGGACTACATCTCCCATCACCCCAAGCTGGCCTCTGATTGGCCTTAGCAATCGAAACCCCCGACAGATGAATGAAGAACCTACCCTATGACCATCAGATGCTTGCAAAGAAAACAAAACAAAAATAAACCTTTTTGGCACATGACAATAAAAAAAATAAATAATAGTTCTTTCTTTCTACCAACATTTCTGAAAGGAAACAACGAGACAGATTTGCAAATCAGGGCTAATTTCAAAAAGTATTGTTCCCACCCTCTTTTTTGCATAAAACCTTCTAGGAAAACAGTAATATAACCCCTTCATTAAACAAATACATATATACACATAATAAAGTGAAAATATGTATGTGTGTGTGTGACTGGGGTGTCCACTTACATAGACAAGCTCCTGGCTCCAAAAACAGCTATGGTTCCCACTCCTCAGGAGACACCAAAGGCCCTCCCTCCAATGACATTGTAGGTTATAGCGAGAACCGTAAACATGTACAAGAGCCTTGCCAAGGTCCTCCACAAACAACACATTGCCCACCACCCAAGTGAAGGCTTTCATGCAGGGACAATTCCATCCTAGATTTTATGTGTTTCCTCCACCACAGACATCCTAGTGTTTCTTTCTCACTCCACTGGTGTGGAATTTGCACCCACTGCCTCTCCCTTAGCCCTTTTCTATTCTTTTCTATGGCACACAGCAAAGAGAGGAATTGACCAGCAACTCGACATACTAGAGAGATTTGGGGTGAATTCACCATGATGTATAGGAGTTGTAGATATTGGGATGTATAGTTCATCTGCAATCTAAGAACACTCTGAACTCCACCAGCGATGGACCTGGAACTAACTTGGCATAACAAACAAAAAATACTGGAGGTCTTTGGAGGGATTTAGAGGACTTGTAGTTTACCTACATCCAGAGTGCACTATGAACTCAGACAATGATGGCTCTAGACCAAACTTGGCATGCATAGCTGATGTGCCGACATTTGAATACTGGGTTTTGAGGGAAATTGGACCGGACATTTTGGAGTTGTAGATACTGGGGTGTATAGTTCACCTGGAATTAATGAGCACTCTGAACTCCAACAAAGATGGAATTGGACCAAACTTGGTACACAGAGTCCGCATGACTAGCAAAAAATACCAGAGGTCTTTGGGGGAAATTCTCCTTGATTTGAGGGAGGTGTAGTGTACCCATAACCGGAGAGCACTGTGAACCAAAACACTAATGGATCTGGATCAAACTTGGCACACATACCTAATATGTTAAAATTTGATTACTGGAAGGGTTTGGGGGGGCTGACCTTCCTTTCTGGGAGTTGTAGTTCACCCACAACCAGAGAAACTGTGACCTCCACCGATGATGGACCTGGACCACACTTGGCACTCAGAACCCCCATGACTAACTCAACCTACTGGAGAGGTTTGAAGGGACTGACTCACCATAGTGGAAGTTGTAGTTTACCCTACAGCCAGAGAGCACACTGAACCCCACTGATGATTCATCTATAGCAAACTTGACCAACATACCAAACTTTAAGTACTGTTGGAGTTTTTCGGGGTTAACCTGGCAAGATGCAAGTTGTAGTTCACCCACAACCTTACGTGTTTGGTACAATTAAAATTGACTTTTTCAAATAACCCGGGTACCCAAGCTAGTGTGTGTGTGTGTGTGTGTGTATGTGTGTGTATATGTGTGTGTGTGTGAATATATATATATATATAAAAAATCGTACCTTTTTTTCTCACCAATAAAGTACCGGAGTGTGAAAATTATTGGGAAAAGCATGATTTGAAACATCATCGACACTGCAGCCTTTGAAATCACTCAACCCTTATTGAAATGAACCATTTGGAGATCTATTTCCCTGAATATGACCTCGCTTTTGTTATGGCTGGGGAGGAGTCCATTCCTTTTGCCTACAAACTCCCAAACGCTGCCCTTTGCATCCTTCATCCTTCAACCCTTCATAGGAAATCTGAGAGAAATCCTCCCATTCCTTTTCTAAAAGGGGAGGGGAGGGGAATGTGAGTGCCGTCTGAAAACGACGGTTGGCCGTTCGATATAATTACAGCTCCACCGAGAAGGGATCGATCGCGGCTGTAGTCAGATCTATATTCAGAGCAGCACCAACACTGTAACCGGCAGCGTCCTTTCATATTTCTCCGTCCCCTGCAGACCCCTAGGAGCGATATATGCAAGCACAAGCCTTTTTTCATTGAAGCCGGACAGTAAGCAAAGGGCCCTGTTGGAAAGAACAGCCTCACTGTCTTCATGTCATCATCGCACACGTCTAGATCCCACCTAAACCTTAGAAAGAACTTTCCTGATGGAATATGCGAATCTTGGAATCTGGTGGAATCTCCTGCTCTAAAGCTTCTGAAGCACAGGTTGGATGTTGGATGGCCATCTGTAGGGAGGGATTTGTTGGAGTTTGCCTGCAAGTCTAGAATTCTACAACCCTATTTCTCCATGAGCTCGCTAATGTCCATGAGGCTGGACGGACCATTGTTTGGGAGGGTTTTGATTGTGTTTTCCGTTAAAGAAGAAGGGGGTAGAACTGGATGGCCCTTGATGTCTCTTCCAACTCAATGAGGCACAGAGGAGGTCTTTGGTTTCTCCTAGATCTAGGATTCTATGATCCTCATTAATCGATTTGGAGAGGTCAGAAGGGTGAGGGACTAAAGGTTATAGGAGAAAGTGCCGAAAAGAGTGGCCCCGACGATTAAGGAGACTCCAGTTCTGATGCCCCAAGTTCTGACTGGATGGATCTTGGTATCTCTTCCAACTCTAGGATTCTATTATTCTATCTATGGTTAGCCACCTTAA